GCTTCATCCTTACAGTGCAAATTAGCAACCATTTTTGGAGACTCCAAAAATTATGAAAATCTGTATCTCCAGCATTTAGCACAGTGTCTGGCACATTGGAGACCCCCAAAATAATGCCTGTTTAAAATAAAAAGGAAACATGCTGAGAGGCCAGAGGGAGCAGACAACCAAGATGTTGGAACCTAGGAAATGGACAAACCCACCAGAGTGGGGCAGGTGGACCAAGCTTTTAGAATTCGACAGCAGAAGTGTATGCAGGTGTTTTGAGCATCATAAGAGTTTGGCATGGGCCACCAGCAGTCAGACAGGGGTCGGGCCTGAAAAAGACTTACTGCAGCTGGAGACTGCCTCATGGTGTCTGAGCACCCAGGATAAGCCTCCAGGAACGAGGTAAGCACCCTGCTGTGTAGGCCAGGACTTGCTTTAAAGCTCTCACAGTGCAGCTGCTGAAAGAAAAGATAGTGTTCCTTAAATCTCCCTGCCTTTCCTAGAAACACAACTGGCCCTTGAGACTGAAGTGGAGCTGAACCTAAAACAGCCATATCAACAATAAATACTGATATGGTATTCACTGTGCTGGGTACTATTAAATATATTCACCCTATGAAGTGGACACTATTATTAATCACCTTCATTTTACAGATAAAGAAATGGAGGCACAGAGCCCTTCAATGCTTGCCCAAGGTCATGCAGCTAATAAATGGCACAGCTGGAATGTGAACCTAGGCAGCCTGGTGCCAGAGCCCATGTTCTTCACACCACATCTGCTTCCTCGTATGGCTGCGGGATGCTGACGGGGGTGGTCAGGAAGCCTTCTGTACTTCCTAAGCAGTTTCAGTGAATCCAGTTGCCTATATGGAGAACTCCCTGATGAGATCCACACTTTCAGATGTGCAGAATTAGAAAGCAGCGGACCACATAACCAAAGACTCATACACAGGACTGCACAACCCTATAAGAACAATTCAGCAGGGAAAAAGCCCCAAAGGGCCTGAGGTTTGCTCATGCAGTGAATTTAAAATTTGCGCATTATGACTCAGACGTGCAGAAATGGAGCTTAATTCCCCATACTCTCAAGCCCCTATTTCTATTTGCCTGCCCTTATAAAGCCACCAAACAATCACTTGTGGTTTAAAACAGTCTCCTTCGGGTCGATGTTCAGGGCAGTCAGGAGTATCCCCTTTATTGTTCTCCTTCCCTTCCCCCAGAGGGTGGACTTAGCTATCATCTTAACCCTGGAGAAAGGAGTTCTGGGTGAGAAGTCCTGTCCCCCTCTTACTCCTGGGCAAAAGCTTCTTTAGCCTGTTGATATTTTAATTAAAATTAAATAAATGAAAAATCAGTTTCTCAGTCACACTGGCCACATTTTAAGTGCTTTATAGCCATCTGTAGCTAATGGCTACCAGAATTGAATAGTACAAACATAGAACAATTTCTGTCATCATAGAATAGTCTATTGGACAACACTGTGTGTGTGTGTGTGTGTGTGTGTGTGTGTGTGTGTGTGTGTGTCTGGGCATCTGGGTGTTATGTGTGTATTCTTGTCTATGTATAGTTTAGTTTCTTTTGAAAATAACAGACACACAATAAAACACATTTAAAAGAAGACATTCAAAAGTCAAGTTAGAGATCCATGGTTTGCAGAACCAGGTTCTGCCAACTGGTCACAGTGGGGTCTTTGAGCAAGTTACCCAGTCTCCCTGAGTCCATTTCCTTGTCTTTAAAATAGACAATAACACCAGTGCTACAAATCTCACAAGTGGTTGTAGGATCACACGAGATAATGCATCTAGAAGTACTTTCAAATTTTTAAGACAAAATTTAAATTTATCTAGTGTTATTCCTATTCTAATAAAGAATTACTCTTATATTTTTAAAGGAAAAAACCTTGTAGCAGAACCCAGACTCATTATATCTCAGGTGCTAAAGGAATTTGCATCTGTATTTCAGAGCTACTCTGTTAGTATGATAAAATCACAAAGAACAGACAATGTATAAGAAGAATGAATATGGAATAACTCTTAAGTTTTTAAAAGGAAGAAAAAGAATGGTTCTACTAAACTATAGAACAATACATGACTTATCAATTCTCAGAAAATTTAGTGCATACTTTATAAAAAATGATTTCAAAATATTCAAGACACAATGTATGTGTTAGAATTACTAGGCTATTCATCTGCAGACCAAACAATTTAAAAAATAAAAAATAAAAATAAAAGCAAAACTAAAGAATTACTCATGAAGCTAAAAAACTTCAGGGAAATTGCAAACATAGTATGCCTTGATTTAAGCAAAATATTTAATATTCTTCAATATACCCTTATTGTTTGAATGGTGAGATGGGGACTGTATTAGTCCATTTTGCATTGTTATAAAGAAATACCTGAGACCAGGTAGTTTATAAAGAAAAGAGGTTTATTTGGCTCATGGCTCTGCAGGCTATGCAAGCATGGCACCAGCATCTGCCTGGCTTCTGGTGAGGCCTCAGAAAACATTTGCTCACCGTGATGGGTTAACAGGGAGCAGGCATGTCACACGGCGAGAGGGAGCAGGAGAGAGAAGGGAAATGCCACACTCTTTTTTAACAATCAATTCTCACATGAACTAATTAAACGAGAACTCACTTATTACCAAGGGGATGGCACCAAGCCATTCATGAAGGACCCACCTCCATGACCCAGACTCCTCTTACCAGGTCCCACCTCCAATACTGAGGATCACATTTCAACATGAGATTTGGAGGGGACAAACGTCCAAACTATATCAGAGGCTAACGGCATGATTAGGTCTACTCATGTCTGTTTGAAAAATTACCCCAAGGTAGTGTTAATTTTGTGTTCAAAGTTCGCTTGAAAGGGAGTCTGGAGACCCTTGTCCTTGGACTATTTATTTTGCACATTTTGACAAGAATGGATGCTCTCAAGAGAAGTCTTTGCATATGACAACAACATACAGCAATTCACCTAAGCTTCAGCAGAGCTGGATTTTGAAGGAACGCTCTCCAGACGGGTAGGGCATACATTCACCTCCATCTTGTTTAGCCTCACCTGTACATTCTCCTTGGGATGCCTTTCTGTAATCCCCAAGGCTGCCCATCACACCCCAGCTCCCAGGATTACTTTTATATGATGGGAATAAGATGAAGAACAGCTGGCAATGGGAAAGAGCCCACTGCGCAACATAATGGAAGCCTACTACTGCTTTCCTCATGGTGGGAGACCACCAGATCTCTGGGTAAGAGCACACAGACATACACACACACCCAAAAATTAGTACCGGGATATTGTGTCCTGTTAAACTTACTACAACCATGCAAAGATCGATATTATTAACCCTACCTTAGAATTAAGGGAACTGATCATCAGAATGGTTAAGTAAATTGCTTAGGGCCACAGGGTCACCAGGTAGCACAACTTAGATTCCTGCCCTGGGTCTCCTAACTCCCAAGCTTCTAGTCTTTCCTCTGCCCCACATCTGAACACAGCTGGGAACTGTCTTCACTCCCCACAATGTACCACTCTCGCTTTGTCCTTTCTCTGCCTTCCTCTTCTCTTTCTCTCATTCCCATTTTCTTTCCTTTTTTAGTATCTCTCTTATCCATGCCTCATACCTATTCAGGTTTAGGCAGGTTTTGTACCACTAGATTTTTAAGGAGAGGCCACGGGCTGATCCCCGCCCTACAAAATAATGTTCATGTTCCTCCAAAGGCAAAACTACTAGGTATCCCAAATACACTTAGCAATGACCCATATTTTAGTGGTTGTTCCATTTTCAACTCCATTGGGACAAATAATTGTCCTATATTTTAAACTGGAACTAGGGTGTGGAGGGTGTATATCTGTGTGTGAGTGAGAGAAAGAGAGAACATGCAAAAACCTCACTTCCTGATTTTATTATGGGAATGCCAGGTCAATCATATTTTGTTCAATCAGCATTCACAAAGCATGACCTCTCTCACCCAACACACACCTACTATCAGATACCAATAACCTCTGTGTAGCACTGACATCTGGAACCTCAATATTATCATTCACATCTTGCATGTTCATTTCAACCTTTATAATATTCCTATCTGATAGGAGTAAAAAATATTACCATTCCCATTTTGAGTAATCAACAAATTCTCTAATGCCAGTCATTAAATATATATGACATTTTATCTACAAGTCTCTAAATCTGGATTCTCCTGGCTTCCAGGCCAGCTCTCTCTAACCTCACAAGGCTCCTTGATAACACTGCTAGGAGGAAAACTAGGTCCCCTGCCCTCTTATTCAGGTGTTTTTACAGCTGAAATTCACATCCTTTAAAAGGACGGAAGTTGATATGGAAATAATTTATTCTCCCTTTAAGTAAAAAAGAGAAAAAAGGAATAGGAAAATAAAAAGACAAAACCTCCTACCACTTCAAATGTAGCAAGATGACCAGCTTCATGCCTAACAGGGAAATAGTTATCTACAATTATAGAGAGCTAAGAAATCTAAGAGCAGAGGTCTCAGAGTTCCTCCAGCTCGACTCCAGTTCCATGCACAGAATCTCTGGCATGTGATGACACTAGTGACACTAAAATGTTCACTGAGTGCCCTCTAAGTTGCAGGTATTTTTCTTAGGAGTTTCATATGTTTTCTCTTGTTTACTATCTACCACCCTAAGAAGGAACTATTATCATAGCATTTTACAGATGAGAAAAGACATTATTGCTTGCCCTTAATCTTTACAATAGTCCAAAAAGATTGTTGTTACAATGACTGCCATTTTAGAAATGATGAACTGAGGCTCAGAAAGGTCAAGTGGCTTGCCCATGGTCCCACGGGTCTTCTGATATGGAGCCTGCAGCTCCTTCACAGAGCAATAGCTCAGCAGCCCAGAAAATGCCTTCACACCCTCCTCCCATTTGACCATTCGTTACAACACATTTAAGATCAGACCCTGACGGTGACATTCTGCAAATAAGTCCAACACTGGGTGTTGTAGAATCTCAGTGAAGAAAGGCCAGCACTCACCCCTGAGGATATCCACAGTCAATAATTCAAAATGTAGGCATGAATTTGTCACTAAGCCAACTTAACCCTCAAAAAAAAAAGTTTCATAAGAAGAGAATCTTTAAAAGAGAAACAGAATTGATGGCTTAGGAAAGGTAAAGTTACGGAAACGGGTTGTAAATCCTGGTCATAAATTAGGGCTGAAAGGAAGAGGATTTTTGATTCAGTCGCTGAGTAAACTGTCTTATTGGATACACTAGCACCACCTTGTGGTGAGGAGCAGGAACTCACAAAGTACTACCTGTTTGGCACCACGTACACTAAAACATACCTTTGCTGTGGAGGTAAACAATGCTGGATACAAACCACAAGGCTCCAGAATTTCATCACCAAAGTGATGATGGCTATTTTGACTAAAATAGACTACTTTTGAAACGGCATGTTTGTTTTTATCCCAGAGCGGGCAAAATGCAAAATGAGACCAGTCCTCTGGTGCATTTCAAGAGTATCTTTATTGATGAATGCGAAAACATAATATAGAGATATGAGATTATCTCACATTTGTGTAGCATTTTTCACATACATGATTTTATTTTATTATCAAAACAACACTGTGAGTTAGGCAGACAATATATTGATCCCATTTCACAGACAAGGAGAGAGGTTCATTTATGTTAAGCATTAGTGTGAAGTTACTTGTGAAGCTTCCAGAGAAAGTTCAGTAGTTATTAAGCCTTCTCACGAACTGAGGATATTGTAAATATGACTATGCTGAAAAGGTAAAAGAGTTAGGATCAAGAGTCAGTCAAGCAAATGATCCATTCACTTAATAACTTCTAAGCAGTTGATTTATCAGCAAAAGTGTGCTAGAGTTCAAAAATTATTTATTTTTGAATTATGGCAACAAATGCCCAATGAAATAGGCAGCCACAATTGTCTGGACCACTGGGCCAGACCCATGCCATATCCATGTGTTGATTCATCACTAAATCCTTCAGGGACAACATATTTACATAGAAAACATTTTTGCCAAGCTGCCCTCATCATACTGCAGTTGAAATAATTACATCATCCAAATCAGACCTCCTCACCCCATCCCCAAGTTGTCCAAAATCTGCTTGTAATTTCTTGTGTGAGCTCCTGTCCACAAAACATCAGAGACATTATTTTCATTCTTCTGTCTGGACTGAAACAAAGAACCCCATTTAGCAAATAATAGTTCCATATGCAATCTTCCTACTAGGCCTGTGGCCTGGTTCATGGTGAAATAACATGCATTTGACAATTTTTTTCGACTATGCTTTTAGTGAGAGCTGTGTCAGGGATGGGGTGCTCACCTGTCCCATTTGAGAGACGGCTTACTTGATGTCTTATTTTTGTGTGGTATCATGAGACATTTGGAAGCTCGTCTGTTCATTAAGCATTAATCTCATTGATCTCAAATGTCAATTCACCAAATCTATGATAAACATTATAAAAAAATTTATACATTAATCTTTTCTGCATTTATAATTATTTTGTATTAGATTTTTTGAAAGAAAAAGTGTAGAGCTTGACAAATTATTCTAAATTTTATTTGGAAATTGAATAGATAAGAATGTATTTTTAAATACCTTAAAGAAGAATGGGGAACTTTTTCTTCAGGATATTAGTTATTCCAAATATTTTTCCCTGTTTATTATTTGCCTTTTAATTTGATGGTGAAGTTATTTGACATAGATTACTAGAATCAGAAGATTTAGGAGAATTTTTGGCTAAGGATCAATCTTTTTTTTCCTTGCTTTGCCCCAAATTAATTAATAGGTTCTTTTTTAAAGGCAGTGATTGAAAGGCCGAGATACCTATCAGACATATTTTTAACAAAGTTCCTTTATTTTCTACTCAAGATAACATTAAGAAATCATCAGATATCTCTTCTCCTTGACCTGTTTCAGAGACCTGAGCCAAACTGAAGGCATATCTGCACACACACACACGCACAGATACACACATGCACACACACACGCACACACCCCTCATACACCACATGCTGCCTTAGGTACAACTATATTCAAGTGATATGACCTGGTCCCTTCATCTCTCCCCTGAGAAATCATAGCCCCCATCATAGTCCAGATGACTGACAGTAATCACTTTCAATCGCTTTTTCCTTTTTTCATCTAGGTCTCCATGAAGTGGGCTTCCCGATCTCTAAACAAGATTTTACAAAGTAGCCAATATGCAAACATTTTGATGACATAATACAATATAAAGCTAGTGAACATTTTAAGAACGCATTCTCTTTTCCATTGTTATAACTTATATATATGTAGACATACACACACACATTTATGTGTGTGTATATATATATTTCTAAATAATAAATTAGACCACACTGTTCACAGACAAAGGGTATGTTTTCCCATAGCAAAGACTGAGAAACCTATTGGCATATGGTAGCAAGACTACCTGAGGGATCCTGAGAACTCCAGGTCAAACAATATTAAGAACATGAATGAATGGAAGACATCTCAAAGAATATTTTTGATATATTTGTTTCTAGTTTATATGTCAATAAAATAAGAAATCAATAATGAATATATGAAAGTGCTACAGGAAAATAGAGAAAAAACAGACAATTCCAACAAACAAAAAACGACTGCTAAAACCACAGCGCCTATCACTAGCAGCTGCTAAAAATATGTTAAATAAAAATAATGATAATTAAGGTAATGGAAACTATATCAGCAATGAAATACTTTTTTGTCTCTATCAGGCTGGAAAATATTAAAACCATGAGAACATTATAAAAATGCCCTATTGTCCAATAACACGTATATATTTTATACTGCCATTGCCCCACGCCACCCATTGTGAAAACACTAAGACAATATGTATTAAAAATCTTAAAATTTATATACTCTTTGACTTAGTAATTTCAATTCTAGATAACTACCCTAAGGAAATCATCAGAAATGCAGGCAAATTTATGTGCAAATATGTTTATTATAGCATTATTTATTATAGTAATAAATGGAAGCAGTAAAAATGCTCACGATAGAGGACTGCTTAAATAAATTAGAGGCCGTACATACATGCATACCAGGCACTGTTACACAGTCATTAAAAATTACATTCACAAGGAATTGGAATGACAAGGGGAAATGCTTACAATGCACTCAATAAAAGAAGCAGAAGATACAGCTATTTATATAGCACAATCTCATCATTTTTAAAGTAAGTTTATAGCAAAGAAAAATAACTAAAAAGTATGAAACTGTGAACAATATATAAGATTATACGTGATTTTTATTTCACTCTTTATAAAACTTATTTTTCCAAACTTTCCATGATGATCATTATTACTTTAATAATTAGAGATATATTAATTTAAAATACATTCCATTCACGGCCCTGGAAAACCTTTGCTCTAGCACTGTTTGTTTCCTAAATACATCAGGCTTTTCCAGATCCCTGTGCTTTTCTGCTTAATGTCTGACTGCTTGGAAGGCCTTACAGGAACTTGAAAATCAGTTCTTCCAGGTGGCATTCTTTGAAGCCCCGAGTAAGAATTGGTTGTTACTTCATTTTTATTTTAAAACCACTTGATACTTGGCTGTAGGATGCCATTTACTAAATTAATTATAATTATTCATTTATGTGTGTATCTCCCCATTGGACTTTGAACTTTTCAAAAGCCGTGGGTCTTAGAAACCCTTAAATCTCCAATATCTGGTACTATTCCTAGCATGCCATAAATATTAAATGCATGCATGAGTGAATGATAAATGTATGGAATGATGGATGGATAGACAGAAACCTATAAATTTTCAAAAGGCAATAGAATCTAGAAGCTAAGGCATCTTCAAGTTGTTTCCTGTATGTGGATGTGTACATACTACAAATGACATACAGGAAACCCTATGTTGATCATTCCTAAGACAAGTTGAGCTATAATTAGCTTATAATAGAACTGAAATTTTTCTAGTTGAAACAACAAATCTGTTATCCTACTTTGCTGTAAATGGCTTTCTACGAAGGATACCCACACGCTTTTTTATTATTAAAAACCATTCCAATAAAAGATATGCTAAAAAATTATTGTAATTTCTACTAATTAAAAACTAATTAAGTCATTTGCTGAATAATACATGTACTCGACTTGCATTATCTATAAGCATGCTCTTCGCTTACAAATATTTGTCTCCATTTCATTAAAGTAATTAAACTGCTCCAAGTACGGTTATTTTTACAAGCATTTTATAGCCAACTCTCAATTTTCCATACCAATGGAGAAGTATAATTGAAATATTTAAAACTGAATAACAGATAATACAGAACCTCCCTGCAGTTCTTCTCCTCCTCCAGTTTAGCAAACAACAAAAGCAACCATCCTGAGGTTTAACTCAGCTGTCTTCCCTCACGCCCACTCTGGTAGCCTATACAGAAAATAATTACGCATAAATAGTATGACTGTATTCATGCACTTAGGCCTCCTTCCCACCCGCACCTCTCAACACTCTCATTTTAATGTATGTTGAGGCAAGATGGAGGAATGGGCTAGCCTACTTTACCAGGGAAGAGGGACCATCCCCAAATCAATGACAAAATTAATTGCACTCTGTCTCTCCTACCACATTGCTCATACTTTGTCCCTGGCAATTATGACAATTCCTTAAGTTCCTAGAAAAAGAAATGCTGCATCAAGCAAAAATTCTTTATGCTAAGAATTATAATGGAGATTCTGAGTGAAGGTGTCAGCGTGCATGTCACATTGTGCCTGGGTGCAGCATTTTTTGCTATTATAAAGGAAAGTGAATTATGTGGAGGATGCATTCTTCTTCCCAAAATGGGAGGGAGCATAATTATGAAGGGGCAGAGAGTAAATATAAGTTGGATGCATCTAATTACATATATTTAGAAATGGGACGAGAAAACATTTATTGCAAATGGGTTGACAATCTATCTTCCATAATAGGCACTTTGTTGTGGATAAACAGAATAGAGCTCTTCTAACTCCCTAATGCTGGTTTTTGCCCTAAGTGTCAGAGGCTATAGTAATACTGCCTGTGAGAGGAGAGAAATGGTGCCAAGTAGAGAAAGCACCATCCGCAGAGGCAGAGTCATGCAGTGGGGAAAGTTACGAGGAGGACAGGGAGGGAAGAAGGTGGTCAGGGAACAAGCTGGTGCATGGGGCATAAAGATTGATTCCAGGCTGGGCACAGGGGCTCACTCCTGTAATCCCAGCACTTTGGGAGGCCAAGGCGGCTGGATCACCTGAGGTCAGGAGTTCGAGACCAGCCTGGCCAACATGGAGAAACCCCATCTCTACTAAAAATACAAAAATTAGCCAGGCGTGGTGGTGGTGTG